TTTCCTTTCCTTTCCTTTCCTTTCCTTTCCTTTCCTTTCCTTTCCTTCCCTTCCCTTCCCTTCCCTTCCCTATCCTATCCTATCCTATCCTATCCTATCCTATATCCTCAAATGATACCTTACATTTATGCTACAGACCAGGATTGTGGATAAGTGCTAGATTAGTTTCAATAGTTAGCACAAACCATAGTATTCTTGTTCCTTGGTCAGATTAGCTGTGATTTATTATTAGGAATAACTCGTTAACTCTTAAGCTATGGGGAAAACCTCAGAACCACATAGGTACCAAGTTTCTTCCCATCTTTCTAAACCACTTCATAGTTTGGAAGGTTCATTGCATTGCAAATGAAATGAATAGAAATCTCTATTTATTAAACTGGTGGTGTTTAATAAAAATAAACCAGTTCAGATTGAAACAGTAAATGAATACTTTATAATACCCAGACATGAAAGTAATGAGATCAATAAAAAAAATTCCTAACATCCTTGATGTAACTGATTTTTTTTTTCCAGGAACACATTTTCCTTAAAGAACAAACAAACATCAAGAAAATAATAAGCAAAACCAAAAGAAGGGAAAAAATAAACAGCCTCCCTAGAAGTAAAAAAAAATAATTGTTGTTCCTAGTTCTTTTGTTTCTTTCTGCCCCTCCATCTTCCAGTTTATGTTTAAGCAAAAAGCTTTAGACAATCTTTTTACATTTCAAAAACCTCAGTGTGCCTAATCCTGCCAAAATTAATAGAACATTCAATGCTTGAATGGTGATTTTGCAAAACAAAGTAGGAAAAACAAAACAAAAAAAGCCACATATTTCTGGAGCTAATGATAAAACGTGGTTATTAATCATGTTTTTGCATATTTAAGCTGTGGGTGAACTTTTAAATGCTGTGGAAAAAAAGCAGTACCAATTTGGTATACCCTGGGCAGATTAAAGATTAATTCAGTATTTTGGCACAAGTCTTCTCCTAGTCGCCACCTAGAGGTATTTTTAATTTTCATGTAGCCTAGTCATTACTACATTTTCTGATGACATGTACAAACTATATCCATACGTGAAAATTATTATTCTATTCCATTCCATTTCACTCCACTCCAATTCCCTTTTCCTTCTGTTTGATTTTTCTGTTCATGAATTCCATACTTCATTCATCCCTCATGGACTCTTTCTCATTCATTCTTGCCCAGTTTCCCTATTGGTGTCCCTTTGCTCTTTTAGCAATTTCCCTGCCTTCATTTCAATTATATACCTTCTGGTCCACTAGAATATGAGGCTTTAGTATCTGCCAAATGAGCTGCTGATTCCTACAAAATTTTCCACTAATGATGAACCTTTCTACGGCTGGAATCTTTTCTTGGGAATTGTATATTAATGCATGTTCTGGGGTAACTGAGCAGTTCAGTCAACAGCTAGGGATTCCTAACAGAATAGCTTTTAAATCATGAAATACTATGTTTCCCCCAAAATAAGATCCAACCAGAAAATAAACCCTAGCATGATTTTTCAGGATGCTCATAATATAAACCCTACCCCCAAAATAAGCTCCAGTTAAGATCATCAGCTAGATGGACACATTTAGTACTGTATTTCCTACTGGAAAATAAACTCTATAATGCATCTTTTGGGGCAAAAATTAATATAAGACCCAGTCTTTTTTGAGGGGAAACACTGTAATAATAATAATTTAAAAAATGGAACTATGTACATGCACCAAATTATTAGGGGGAAAGGAAGTACAGTATAATTCTTTCAAGGGTAGCCAAGTTGGTAAACATCTGCCCCTTTGAACAATCAAGTAATGGCAGACCTCTTGCTGTCTCTTACCTTTGTTATTCCCAGTTTGAGCTGGTGTCCCTCAGGTGTCCAGTGCAATGCCATGGATGCTGACTTTAATGGTCAAAGGTAGAGTATGCCATAGCATCCAAGGGAGCTTCTGCATCTCATTGCCAGCTTTTTTTGTGATGTCTGTAGTCTCATTGCATCCTTGGTGTATCTGTTGGCTTGGGTAGTGTGCTTTTTTGATTCACTTTCTTTGTATTAAGGTTTTTTTTTTACTGGATGGTTTCCAGAATTTGGCTGCCTGGTATTTGTGGTCATCACATCCCAGCCCTTCCTTATGACTTGAACTGGAGTACAGAGACTTGTTTAATGTCACACTAAGCTTTACAAAGTTTCTGGCTGCAACTTAGATAAGAATCTTCTGGATCACCAATTCGAAGAAGATGGGACTTAGTTCTTCAGAGCAGGAAAAGGCTTCCTGACATGATGAGCAGGCTTTGGGCTTTCTGGAATTAACATAGATTACAGTGCAACTTACCAAGACTATAGACTGATTAAAATGGTACAAGTTGTGGAGAAAAAAATTCCTTAGTCACCTGGAAGCCATTTTTGCTCACCATAGGCAACCAAGTGAATAATTCCTGTTACTTCCATTGCAATCTCTTCGCATGTTTCCACTTTTACTAGGGTCAGTCTGGCTTTCCAAATTTAGAAAGAAATATGCTTAACAAAGCATGTACATCAGAGGTGACATTCAGCAGGTTCTGACCAGTTCTGGAAAACCGGTAGCTGAAATTTTGAATAGTTCAGAGAACCAGCAAATACCACCTCTGACTGGAGATTTTACATTATTCTTCCCCTGCCACGCCCACAGAACCGGTAGTAAAGAAATTTGAATCCCACCACTGATGTACATGTTCTTATTCTATCAAGTATGCAAACTGAGCAAAACCTAAGTCTCACTTAATGTTGTAGGCTATGCATGGGAAGAACAGGAGGTGGAATTATGCCCTGAGTAGTTAATGTAAAAATTAATCATTCTGACCTAGGCTTCCCCAACAGCACAAAGCTGAGTTCTCATCCTGATAAACCCCTTTTATTTAATTTACAATGAAATTCCTCTCCCACAAAGTCCCGGCCAACCGTCTTTCAATTACAGACCTTTATCAGGCTTGTAGAAGGGCCGGGCTGATATCTTTCAGATGGCACAATATTTGGCAAGCATTCCAGAATGAACTAATTGTCTCCTGCAAAACCCCACTTTCCTTTCACTCCTCTTTTATTCTCTAGGGGAGGGGCCATTCACCATCAACCTGTGGTTTTACTCCCAAGTCGGCCCTTGTTCCTCAGCTGTTCCCTTCTGGCAACTCTATGCATCGCACACTGAGAACAGGCTGCAGCTGTTCTTCTGCCTCACTGATGTCTGACTCCAAAGGCAGCTGATAACTGTCAGATGGCCCTTGCCCCATCTCTGCCTCTGACTCAGAGCCTTCCCCAGACTCCAGGATTGGTCCATGTTCCTCCCCAAATTCCTTACCTTCCGAATCTGCTGGCAGCTCCACTGGCCGCTGTCGGGCCATAACACATAAATGGCACAAGGAATGATAGTACATTAAATGAAGCTGAAAATAATGATTGCAAGGAAGTAAAAACCAATGTTTGAAAATTCAGAAAGTATCATCAATATTTGTGGAATGACAACATATAAGCAGTGAAGGTTTTATGGCCAAGTATATTTTGACCACCTTATTATTTTTGTGGCTTCTGTCTAACTAGCAGAACAAAAACATTGCAGCATAGAATTTCCTCTTACATGCTCTGTGTCCATGTGCAGCTTTTTCCCAACTAGGGGAAGTCAACAACAATAATTTTGTCACCGAAAGGGTCCCAAGGGAGAATGAAATTTTAAACCAGAGGTCTCCAAACTTGGCAACTTTAAGACTTGTGGACTTCAACTCCCAGAATTCTGGCTGGAGAATTCTGGGAGTTGAAATTCACAAGTCTTAAAAGTTGCCAAGTTTGGGAATCCCTGCTTTAAACAGAAGCTGAAAAATCACGAGAAACAATGAAAAGGGTTGCATGGTGAAGTCTTATGATTAAACAAGCCAATAGATGCCAAAGTCCAGCCTGGATAATGTTTCTGACATGCTTTCCTTTAGAAAAAAGATACTAAACCAAAAGGCTAAAAAAAAATTTCACGTATTTCTCTGCTCGGCATGAACTGGAATTCATTTTTAGCAATTCTTTATTAGAAACAACTTTCCTAAAAAACAACTAACTCATGCTAAAAGTACTAATAAAGCACCTCTTGATCTTTCCTTTGCATCTTTGTACATAGGTATCTTTCTCCTGAAAAGAAAGAACCAGGTTTATACTCAGTACAAAGTAGGGTCTTTATGAAAAGTCCTTGAGCCTGCACATTTATATATATAAATTGCAGCAGCAGAAAGTCGCATAGGAGCTTTTGCAGGTGGAATGGGTCTCTAATTCTAACAGCAGTAATGTGCTAACATGCTAACTAACCAAGGAACCCAGGTAGATCTGCTTACAGCAAAATAATAAACAGCACTATATTACTTGGAAATCTCCTGTCAAGCTTGCTTAAGCCAACAAAACTTTATGGACTGACCTACCGAGAACTGGGAAAAACTTAATGCCTGTCATTTGTCTTCAGTTACAGCTTAGAAGGTCTTTCTGCAGAGGCTGATGATACTACTAAGCCATCCTCAAGTCTTGATGTAGTATCTATGAACACCAAAGATCTTCGGCAGAGTCCCCTAGCAAATGATGAACGAGGATCGCTGGTCTCACTCACCGAAGAGGAACAGGAAGAGCTGGGAGAAATGAGAAGTCAGGTAAGAAGAAAGGTCCTTCCAAGGATATAGGATCCTAGCTTTGAGTTGTATGATCTACAAAGCCAGGTGTGGCACACAGCAGCTCCATCCCTTGATGTCAGAAGGTACCGTTCCTTTTCATAATTTCATCACAACTGACCCTCAACTTGATTTTCACTTTCCACTCTTGTGATCAAGGCTAAAAGAGTCAGACAGAAATCTTAGCAGTGTATTTAAAGACCACATTCTGGGACCAGCAACAAACTGACCTCAGCTGATCTTGAAAATCGTTAGGAGGGTCATGCCTGCTTAGATGGAAGGCCATTGATATTCTAAAGCTATGTGCTAGATTGAGAAATTAAAACAACAACAACCAAGTTTATATTATGCTTCATAAAACGTAGCATGGAGAGCACTTGCCTATAAAGTCACCAAGAGTCGGACATGACTTAATGGTTAAAAACAAACAAAAATTAGGGTTCTTGATGGAGCTCTACCTGTGTATGCATGTGTGTGTGTGTGTGTGTGTGTGTGTGTGTGTGTGTAAATAGCAATGACAAACCATTTTGCTATCATCCAGGAAACTGCATGGACATTTCCATGAAGTTATCAAAAGTTTGACTCAAAGAAGACTTTTAACTTCTAGATCCATTTGAGGTGGGAGGGGGTTAGTATAGATTTTTTTTCATGGTTCATTTATGTTGAGCAAGCTGTTTACATACAAATACCTTCCTCTTTAATATCCCAGGCATATTGTAGTAGAACTGGTTGGCAAGATGGTTTCACATCATAGCTAGACTGGGGAAAAGATTTAGATGTTGGGTTTTTTTAAAAAAATTGTGCTGACGAGGAAGCAAGAGAGGTTGAACCTCAGTTCTGGGAATGCTGCTTCCTCCTCATACTCCTCCTCCTCCTTCCCTCCCTTCTTCCCAACCTGCACTTCCTTCTAGCACTGATGATGTTACCTGGTTGGGTCAGGAAACGTCTACAAGGAAACAACCAAGCTCAGAAAGCGCCAAGGACCCCCTCGTTTTAAGCCCTGAGCTGCAAATATTCTCCTCTATTTGTCTGTTTGACCAGTCTGAGAAGACTGAATTTAGTGTAACCATTCTGCATTTCACAGATTCTCCAAAGACCGCAGCCCTACTCCTTCAGCTTCTCCACAAGTCCCGTTTCTCCTCCATTAACGAAATCCATGTCACTGATGACCATCGCCCAAGTGGGATCAGACAATAGTGAGTATTTGTTGGGTTTAAATTTTTTTCTTTGCATGTAGCATTTGGTTGTGAGCGTATTAAGCACACCTTCTGCTTTTCCTATACCAACCTAACTTTGCGCCATTTTGAGATAAATATTTGTCAGAGAAGGCAAATATCTGGTCCTGCGCTGTATGAAGTTTTGGTTTGCTCTGCCCGATATTAGTCACTCCAGTAAACCCATCCCCTCCCACTTGTGATTGTATAACTGTAACTTTGTTGCTTTATATTGACTGTTTCCTAGTACGATTTGATTGCTTATTGTACCCTATGACTATTATTAAGTGTTATATCTTATGATTCTTGACTCTTGACGAATGTATCTTTTCTTTTATGTACACTGAGAGCATTTGCACCAAGATAAATTCCTTGTGTGGGTCCAATCACACTTGGCCAATAAAGAATTCTATCCATCTAAAGATACCCAAGCTCTTTTCTTCTATAAGTCCAATCTATGCATTTTTAAAAAATGTAGAACATCCTGGATTAAGCTTGAGACTTATGCAAAGCATACTGCTGAACTGTCATTCCTTTTCAATGCATCTCCAAGAAATAAGATTAGTCGTGGGAAAATACAGTTTTCCATCGTAGAGTCATGTCTGATTCTAGGGGACGGTGCTCATCTCCGTTTCTTAGCAGAGGGAGCCAGCGTTCTCTGAAAATATTTACGTGATCATATGGCTAGTTGAAGCTCATGGAACACAGTTACCTTCCCTCAGAAGTAGTAGCTTTTTATCCACTTGTGTTTGCATGCTTTCAAACTGCTAGATGGGCAGGAGCTAGAGCAAGGAACGGGAGCTCACTCCATCACGCATCGCTCAGGTCTTGAACCTGATCTGTCAGCTTTCCAGCTGACAAGCTCAGCATTTTAACCGCTGAGCCATCGTGTCCCCCCCCCCCCCCCCCGTAGTGAAAAGAATAAAAATAAACTGAAATCTTGATGCAGCAGAGGCAATTAGTCTTCAGTAAATGTGGAAACCATCTTTAAGGTGCTAGAGACAGTCCAAAATAACTAAACAAACTGCACCCCACTGTGACTAACGCTCTCTCCTTGGAAAATATCTCCTGGATACTTTTACATCTATCTGGAGCTTTGAGAGAGGTGAAGAACAAGCTATCTCTGCATCTGCCACACTCTGTTTTAGCAAAAATGACAGTGAGACATGTTTTTATAGGATGATTGTGTGCCCTGGGGGAATGTCAGTGGGTTCAGACTTGCAGTTGTGAAAGTTGTGTCTCCGGTGCAGCTTCACTGTTCATCAGTTCTGTCAGTGGTTATGTGGTGTGGTTCAAATGAGCCCGGAACAGCCTGACTGCTTTCCATGATTACTCTTGCATTTTATGGATTGTAATCTTGTTTTATTCCAATTGGAAATCCAGATTTTATATAATAAGCAAAAGGATTTTGCACAGTGGTCATTTCCTTACATTTCTCCTAAATTTAATTATTACCTCCCAACTGTACCTGTGGGATGATCAAATGGGTTCAGATGATTTATTTATTTGTCCAATTTAGAAAAACTTTGGACGACATGCAGCATTAAAAAGAAACAATTAAAAAAATAACCTGTACATCTCAAAGGGAAAGCATTTCAGAAAAACATATATAATCCCTACAGGAAGTTCACCATTCACCTGAAACAAAGGACTGAGCAGAAAAAGGCAGATTTTCAGATACTTTAGAAACACACCCAAGATACATGTGAAGAACACCTATAAAAAAAGTTTTGCAGGGGTCACTAAAGCTAAGAAAACATTTTTGTTGGGGAAATAAATGGTGGAATAAGAATTTCCATACATTTCAAATTCTTTTTTTTAATTTATTTTTTTATCATAGAAAATAAAATACAAAACAGTAAAACAAAGGGGGATGCGGTGGCTCAGTGGCTAAGACGCTGAGCTTGTCAATGAGAAAGATCGGCAGTTCGGTGGTTCAAATCCCTAGCGCCGCATAACGGAGTGAGCTCCCATTACTTGTCCCAGCTTCTGCCAACCTAGGAGTTCAAAAGCAGGTAAAAAATGCAAGTAGAAAAATAGGGGCCACCTTGGTGGGAAGGTAACAGCATTCCGTGCGCCTTCAGCATTTAGTCATGCCAGCCACTTGACCACGGAGACGTCATCGGACAGCGCTGGCTCTTCGGCTTTGTACCGGAGATGAACACCGCTCCCTAGAGCCGGAACAGCTAGCACGTATGTGCAAGGGGAACCTTTATCTTTGAAACAAACTAACAAAATAAAACAAAGGCATTAGAGTTTTTCTAGTCCAACCTTCTTCTCAATCAGGAGACCCTTATACCATTTCAGATAAGTGGCTGTCCAGTCTGTTCTTAAAAGCCTCCAGTGATGAAACACCCACAACTTCTGGAAGCAAGATATTCCATTGGTTAATTGTCTTCACTGTTAGGAAGTTTCTCCTTAATTCCAGGTTGCTTCTCTCCTTGATCAGTTTCCATCCATTGTTCTTTTTATGTTGCCTTCTGGTGCTTTGGAAAATAAATTGACCCCCTCATTTTTGTGGCAGCCTCTTAAATACTGGAAGATTGCTTTCATGTCACCCCCAGCCCACCTTTTATTTTATATACATTTTATTTTTGCCATAAATGTGGAGTAGCCCGAAGCACTCTGCGTATATAAGAAACTCATTGTTTTTTTTCTTCTTGGAGAGAAGCCTCCCTGGTTTGGGAGCTTGCCACTGAGAAAGTCTCTTCTAACAAGCAAACCTTTTTGGAAGATCTGGCTTAGCTTCTCAAGACCCGTGACTCATAAAGATGTTGACTCGTTTTTGCTTCTCCCTTAGCAATAGTAACCAAAACACTTGTCCATCCATGAAAATAGACACTTCATCTTCGGTGACCAGAATGTACTAATTTTCCTCCTCCTTCTGAAGGCCCTCATTAAAGGCATATCCACACACAGGATGGGCTCACGTATGCAGCAAAGGACCAATTGCGCTGCTCTTGTTTTTTTCTAAGTGGCTAAGAAAAGGGAAAGGGACTTGAAAACCAGCCTTCTTTGAGAAACGGATTATTTTCTCTTAATTATAGGAAAACGTTTTGCAAATGCTTTCCTCCAAATTTGCACTCTTTTCCAAAGGGATCTGTACCGCAGCTCAGATTAATAGCAAGGAAAGAAATGGATTCACAAAACAGTGCTGTGCAAATGAAAAATGCAATTTTAATATTTTAATAATTTAATATGCAACATGGCTTAAGTGGAGGCTCAAAGTACTAGAGGGTGCCTAAAGCTGCCCCAGATTATCATCGGCTAAAGTTAATGTTATATTTTTGTTTCCTTAAAGCGTTGCTGATATTCTTTTTTATCTGATCAGATTTCAGAGTGGAGTGTGAGCTCTGCAGATAACAGTACAGCGAAACAGAAATATTTGCATCATTAAAAAGTATCAATTTAGCTAAACTGTAGGAGTACTATATATGCAGGTTAAAAAAATTTTTTTTTAGTAAATAACAGTGAATGTTTATAGATGTGGGTAAAACACCAGAAGAGGCATTCTGTGCTTCTGTTCCAATTAAACTCAGGATACATTAAGGTGAATAGAACAATTAGTCTAGACCAGAACTGTATTTGTGGTTATCAGTTTCCCCAGAAATTTTCCCTTTGTTCATGCTTTGCTTTCCTCACCCGACTTTCAGATTTTGTCATTTTAATTAATTTACTTTATTGTCATTGCACCTCATACAACGGAATTAAATGCCATCTTTGGTGTACATTACAACTATAAAAATAAAGCAAAAGACATCCTTCACTTTCTATACAATTGAATTGAAAGCCCGATATTGCATTAATATTGCACTATCCAGTAGAATTCAATATTTGCCCTGGGATAGAAGCTGTTTTTTTAGCCTATTTATCCTTGTTTTTATTGTCTTGTACCGTCTGCCAGATGGTAATAGTTAAAAAAAAAAAAGGGTGCCCGGGATGAGATGGATCTTTGAGAATGTTTTTGGAACTAAAGAAAGATTATACCATATAAAATAAAATAAAATGAAGCTATGGGTGCTTCAACACTGGAGGATTTTAAGAAGAGATTGGACGACCATTTGTCTGAAATGGTATAGGGTTTCCTACCTGAGCAAAGGGTTGGATTAGAAGACCTCCAAAGTCCCTTCCAATTCTCTTATTCTGCTATAAGGGAGCATGATTGGCCCTAGTGTGGTCTTCACTTGCAAGATTACCTTTGAAGCTCACGTTGGTATCATAGATGTTCTGGGAAAAATAAACATGGAGAGCGTCTCTGTCCAGAGCTTTGTTTGGCAGTGAGCCTCTTTTTTTCAGACAAAAAGGACCAACATGAACTGGAGATCACGCAAAGAATCCCAAAGGGCAGAAGGTGGGAGGAGAACAAATTGGCCTTCTGATAAGTGTGGGTTTGGGGCTGCTTGCATTCACCAAGACTGTTATTCTATGAATAAAGCCATCATCCATCATCACTACTTTGTACTATCACCATGTACCTGTTTCAACTTTAGATAGTCGTGCCTCCCTCCTTAATACTACATTTGAAATGCAAGGCACTACCTGGAATACACTCTTTAGATCCATCTCATCCTGGGCACCCCCTTCCCTTTTTTTTTGAACTAATACCATCTGGCAGACAGTACAGGACAATAAAAACAAGGACAAATATGGCTGTAAAAAAGAGCTTCTATCCCAGGGCAGTAACTCTATTGAATTCTACTGTATAGTGCAATATGAATGCAATAGCAGGCATTTTCAATTCAATGTACAGAATATGAAGGATGTGTGTTTGTGTTTATTTTCATAGTCATAATGTATATGTCAGGATTCTGGCAGTTACCCCAATTTAAATCATGAGTCTCTAGACAAACTTCCAAAACATGCTGGCACGGCCTGGGTGTAGCCGACTCTGAGACACATAATTCATTGTCATCCTTGACCCTGATTTTCCCCCCACCGCCTGGGTATATCGTAATTCATATTCTCCAATGAGACACATCCAT